TTGCTCCCGAAGGGATGAGACCAGTGGAGTATCTTAGATGGCCGCTCACAGGCTTTTAAGACCCCAGACACTATTCACCAAGGTAGACTGTAGAGCATTGTCTTTATAAGCTGTGTCATGCCAATTGAGCTAGATGTTCCCCGAGACCATGGTCCCCACAGCCCTCCGCCCAGCAATTCAGTCCCTTTTTTAACCGATTTTCTTTCTGTTGTCTGGCTTGGGTCCGCCCACGAGTCCGCGAGAAGATAAATACCGGGGCTGGTGGGACTGCTGAACACTTGCCTAGTCCATACCTCAAAGGCTTGTGTTCTCATTGGAGGCTACCTTTGCGATGGAGCACAGTTTTCTTGACCGCGTGAGGCAGGCTTGGGATTCCGCAGACGACTCGCCGGAACCACTGCCTCTGCCAATCCTGAGCTCAGAAGATTCTGGGCCACGGCCGCTCCCTTTCTATCCCAAGCTCGGAGAGCCCTCACGGGACAGCCCGGAACTGCTTTCCAGGCCTCCCTGGCGGCTGCACTGGGTCTACCCGCAAAACGGACTCTTTCCCGTAGCGCAGAGCACCGTGGAAACAAGTTCAGCCTCGCTCGCTCAGGTCTTTCGGCCAGGGACACAGACGCCACGGGCACCTGCAGGAGAGGTGGTCCCAGCGGAGGAACCCGGTAGAAGCAGGCTGCAGCAATTTCCCCCGAACTGGCCCGCTGGCCCCGGCGACAGACAGCTGGACACCGAGACTTCTGACAGCGGGGAACTTCGGAGCGACGCCGCTCTCCCGCCTCGGCTCGGTGGTGCCACTGCCCCAAATTCGCAGGCTGCCGGGAATGGCTTCGTCGCGTGATGTTGTCGATGTCCGGAGGCGTTTTCGCTCCTAGCACTGCGCCACAACCCGCGGAAGCGCAGCGCCCGCGTCGGTGGGTTCGCAGACCGGACGTTTCTCGGTGTCTTCCCCACTGTCTGTTTGATTCATGCTGCCTCTTGCTGGTTCCCAGCACCGTCAGGCGCTCCGTGTCAGCGTTTTGTCCGTCGAGGCTCCCCGATCCGCGCACCGAGCCGGAGGTTTCTCGTCTGCATCTTCGCTAGGATTGCCGAAGCCTAGCCGGGGGCATCTCCTTGGTGGCAGCGCCGCTCTTTTTGCAGAGCCGGATGTGTCCAGGCTCCTGGATGGCTATTTCCTCTGTGAAGGCACTTGCTGGGACCCAGCAACGCAAGGTGCAGAGGAGAGGGTTTGCGGTCGCAGGTCCCACAGGTGCGCAGGGCTGGCGGTTCCCCTGGATTCTAGCTAGCAGAGGGACGTTGACGGGTTTAGGTCGAGCCAAATACTCTTGGGTAGGAACCATGTCCTTTCAAGGATCCGGAAGTTTTTCGTTTGCAGCCCCGCTGGTTTCAACAATAGGAAGATTTCTTTATTTTATTTTTTTATACTACTTTATCTTTTTAATTTTTCCCATAAAAAATTTGTACATACATTGTTATGTGACCCTAATTGCTCTCCCCATACTGTGACTCCTCCTTTCCACCCCTGATTCCCCATGTCCATTCAACCAGCTCCTAACCCACTGTGCCTTCCCATCTCAACTCTGGACAGAAGCTGCCCATTTAGTTTCTTGTATCTACTTGAGCTAAGAGGCACACTCCTCACGAGTATCACTTTATGTCCCACAGTCCAATCCCTGTCTCAAGAGCTGGCCTAAGATATTGTTTTAGTTTTGGACTGATAGAGAATCCAGGGGCCGTGCTTTCCAGGGTTCCTCCAGTCTCAGTCAGACCATTAAGTCTGGTCTTCTTACTAGAATTTTAGTTCTGCACCCCATCTTTCTCCTGCTCCATCTGGGACTCTCTGTTGTATTCCCTGTCCAGGCAGTCATTGGTGGTAGCCAGGCACCATCTAGTTCTTCTGGTCTCAGGCTGTGAAGTCTCTGGTTTATGTGGCCCTTTCTGTCTCT